TGGACATAAGCCTCAGCTTATCTTTTTATACCCACAGCATTCCAGGTACAATGATACACTTTAGAGAACTCACTGTCAGCTTTGTTTGTGCAATCTGGGAGTCAGACAATTAAGTGACCTCAACTGCATTGGCAAAATTGCCTTCTCTACTTTGGGCATCTGCATAATGCAAAGCATGGAATGAGGCTGCTTCTAGCAATCCAGCACCATACCTATATATAGGGCCAAATTATGCCTCTTTTTACATCTGGGCAAGGCTACGGAAGTCCACGGCATTGGTACAGAATGGATGAGTGTAACTGAGGGCAGAATTTTGCCCACCAGGATGTGTTCAGCCTGGGTGTAACTCAATTGACTTTAATAGATTTATTTCAGGAACAAATCTGGCCCATAGTGTTTATAAACTTCATGAAATTAACAGTGCCAGATGATCAAGAGCACTGGAAATGTTCTGATGAAGAAAATTTCTCCCTTACATTAGAAACCCACAAAACCAACATGTCCTGATACCTCGGTACATTGCAACGTGGGGTGGTACAGTATATAGTCTGCACTACAGAAAGAGCACGTGTATGTGTGGTGGCGAGTCCCTGGTGAAGCATATGCTGATTAGCATGGGTGTGTGTGGACAGGGGTCCTGTGTGGTGGTGTGTACTCTGGCATGTCTGCATTGCATTGTGGGGTTGTGTGGCAGCTTTTCTGAACATCCCATAGCACGGGTTGTACTGTGCGTTTGTGCTGCAGTGCGGGCAAGGCACACTGTGCGTGCTCTAAACTGCCAGCTTTGTCATGCATATGAGCATTGGATTTTGAGGTTAACTATATTCATATCTTTCTTATTAATAAGCTTTGAAGCAATGTTATACATCCTATTATACTGTGAACACGTGTTTTACTTCCTTTGTGTCCATTCTTATGAGCCATCCTTTTATCAAAAATCAGTATTGTGTGCAACTAGACGCATGCGGAAGTAAGCCGAACAGGACATCTGTAGAGTGATAGCAGACATCCCACCTAATGAATTAGCTCTGTGTTAGAAGCTCATCTTCTGAGGTCCCAGGCAGTCTGTCTTTTGAGAGGTATTAGAATGAGAGACTGAGACTCACAGGGCTGTGGATACAGCTGGCTGGATACTGGAACATCAGTAATAATAGGAAAGAGCTGTGTTTCTGACTTCAGTCCAAACAGGGAAGCTTCCATTGAGCAGGTCCAGGACCTGACTGCGAGGAAGAAAGTCATTCAGCAATGTACCATAAAATAGCCCCAACCCACCCCGGGAAGTTTCTTTGCAGGCAATGTATCGAATATGGTACAGGTAGGACTTTTAGCTATCAAGAAATTATACCAAAAATTCACTGGAAGCCCATACATAGCTCTGCTACATACCATGAGACCATCTGGAAATTAAGAGAGAGAGCAGGGTCAGGACTCGGAGCCTCTTGACACAGGTTTATGCCATTTAAACTGCAGGAGAATCTCCATTAGAAGTGTAGAGCCCGTGACACACATCTGAGCCACTGGAGGGAGCAATGCAGGTGCACACCAATCAGTTCATCACAATGCTTAGCTACCTCAGAAAGGATGCTATGAGGCCTAATTCACGAAGGGTTGTTAAAGACTGGAAATCTTTGAATGAAAGGTGCCAGAGAGAAAAGTGCTAACTATTATCATTCTTATCCTTGGATAGTTTTATAGCAGTTCATTTTACAGTGGTTCATTTCCCTGTATTCCATTTTTATAAAGGGTGGTGGGCGTCTATGGCAAAGCCCAAGCCTGTTTAGCATCTATTGTGGCTGCCTCTGACTGAAACTGCCTGGCAGGTAGAGTTATAAAATAAATAATAACGACTATTACTACTAAATTCAAGCACCTTATACTCTGCAGAGTTTACAGCACTGACTGTGACCTGAGAAACATCAGAAAGAGCAGGAGCTACACATTCATTGCTGGTGGTACTCTTGTACTGTTACCATTTTTTCTTTTTTTATTATTACTTTATTACATATTAAATGTTTCCGTGACGCAGGAAGAAATAGCAATCCTTGTCTCTGCAAAGCCTGAGGTGCAGAGGTGAACACTGAATTCTAATGTGTAGCAAAGGATTAGATTCAGAGTCAAGGCCATGCTGTGCTTTTCTTAATTTCTTCTATAATAAATGAGGATTTGCTACAAAATAAGCACCTGCTTTTGCAGGAAATACTAAAACTGAGCTATGTGTTCCCTCTAACTTTTTCCATCCATGAGCAGAATAAATGCTGTTATGTACATGGAGGCATGTGCATATGTGCACCACCAGTGGAAACACATGCTGCCAGCTGTGGGCAGCTGTGGGTGCTCTGCTAATCAGCCTGGCAGCATTTGTAAGTAAGGGTTATTTCGAGGGAAGGGTTTTATCTCGGAATAACCCTGTTTTTTTCTCTCGAAATAGCGCTATTTCGAAATAGCACCATAACATGATTATGCAAATGAAGAGCGGGATAGTTAAATCTCCGCTTCATTTGCAGTTTCGTGTGTCTGCATTTGCATTCCTCTCTCTCGAGAGAGAGGAATTAAATGTAGACATACCCGAAGAGATACATTCCCTCATTCTGGAAGGTACCACTACAGTGGTCCACCAAGAGAGTCCTCACCCTAAGAAAAGTCCTGAATATTACCTTTAGTCCCCCTATACAATCAGCAATAGCTGTAGTTTCTGAATGCATGCTTCTGGAAAGACAGCGTACAAAGTGTTTCACCTCCAGTATACTCAGTGGGACAAAGGCAATGTCTAGACAGCAAGCTTCTTTCAGAATAAGCTTTTCCGGAATAGATCTTCCAGAAAAGCTTATTTTGAAAAAGAGCATCCACATACAAAAAGCACAACAAAATAGCAATGTGCTATTTGGAAAGATAGCGTCCACACAAATTGGATGCTATCTCATATTTAAGGCCACCTGGAACCAGTTCAGGCAGGGCATTAGGTCAGCAATTGCTTCTGGGTGCTGTTGACTAAGGCTATCTGAGATGCATACTTAAAGGGACCCCCTTGGACAGACATTTCTCAGGTTCTTCTGCTTCCTTGCCTACTCTCCGAGGGACAGCAAAGCATTTGCAGTGCGTGCTCTGGTTGCCCTGCTTCAGGACACAACAGCACTATTTGCCATGGAGCCGGAGCTGCCTCTGGGCATGTGATGGCTCCAAACCTCAGAGAGATACAATGAAACAAATATCTCAACTCTGGCCAAAAATCTTCAGAAAAAAAGCTCTTCTGAGATTGTCTAAGTCATGACAGTAAGGGAAGGAAT